AAAAAAAAAAAAAAAAAAAAATCAGGCCAAAGATTCCGTGACACATAGTCTAAGCACGTGTAAACGTGCCTCCTGTGACTGTCTTCATCACCGTGCCCATCCCCAAACCCAACCCAAATGACCGAGGGGCAAGTCCCACCTTCCCCACTCTAAGCATACTTTTGACCATGAGTCTCACTGCTGGCCACATTTTTTGCCCAGGAGTCATTTCTGGCTGCTCTGCAAAATAGAGCTCTGCGCTCAAGAGAACCCTCTCCTCAAGCCCCAGGAGCACAACAGCTTAGACAGGTGCAGGAGAGTAAGCTGGGACTTAAAGCTGAGTCCAAGGTCAGTTCTCAGATGCACCAAGTATAAGTAAATCACCCCACCTAGGAGCTGCTTCTGTTTCTTATTCTGAAAAATTGGATACTACTGCTCATCTTGTGGGATTTGGGGGAATCTTAGATGTATATAGTAGACACAAACTATCACTAGATCATTTTTTTGGCATCATTAAGATTTTTTAAAAAACAAAGATTGTAACAATGTAAGGTATGTCAATTGTTACTCTTAAAAGAGTTTGTCCCAGAACTTAAGGTCTTTCTGGGAAACTTTGCAATGACACCTACTTCCAGGAGGAGGAGCAGCCTGTGGTGCTCCCACCAGGTTTTCCTCAGCCTACTTAAGTCCTGCCTTTCCCTTTCTCTCAAGGTCTTTATTTGCCAAACCAACAAGACATTTGCTTCTTCTAGGTGGTGTTGGAGACTGGTTACAGGACCATGAGTCTGGCTGCTCTGTGTGTTGAGTTCCTTTCTGATGTTAGAACCCTTAAGGTGTGAGTGTGTAGGGGGGGGGACGGGCGGGGGAGCGAGGGCAAATTTTTTCCCTTCATAATTCTTTGCAGTTACTAACATTGGACAGTTTAGCTCTTGTCTATCTTCATTAAATCATTCTAAAAGTATTAAAAAATAATTGAGCTCCAACCATATGCTGATGGCAGTTCTAGGGTGTTAGGAAGACGCTGATAATCTTCAGTACAGTCAGGGTGAAGTCTACAGTCCAGGGGAGGAGACTGACCGTTCAGCTGCAGTAGCGGAATGCAGTACTGTGCACTTGTACCCAGCCGAGTACCCCTAACATGAGGTCTGAGTCTAGGGAAGTCCTCTTGGAAGGGAGGCAGCGGAAGAGCGGAAGGCAAGGCCCTCTGCACAGCAGCACCAGAGCACAGTGGGAATATGACTTCCATGTAGCTGGGAGCCTGGAGAACCACGGCTCCGCTGCTTCACCTCTCCAGGCCTCAGTTTCCCCATCTACAGCAATAGTAGTGACTCCAGGAGGTGCTCAGAGAATTGAAGGGAGGATTAGATTGCACCCAACAGGAAGTAAGCATTCTGTTAGTGTTTGCCAAATAGAAATCAATCAACGATGGACAATGAGTTTAACCTCAAGCGTAAGTTTTCTTTTAAGAGCGTTTGTTCCCACTATAAAAGCACGTCATATTTTTTGCTAATGTTTGACATTTGTTTGTGTTCTAGACGCTTTCCTGAGCCCTGGATCTTTCTTCCTTCTGGAAATATTCTGTGAGAATTTATTTATTTTTGAACAAAAGCACCCGCACGTCATGGACCTCATTGCATTGCTGAAGTCTCAGTTCCTGTGCCACCTGATCTTCTTCTATGTCTTCATCGCCTCGGGGCTGATTGTGAACATCATCCAGCTCTTCACGCTGGCGCTGTGGCCCATTAACAAGCAACTCTTCCGGAGGATCAACTGCAGACTGTCTTATTGCATCTCCAGCCGTAAGAGCCTTGCCCACCTTCTTCTGCATGTTCCTCTTCACTGCCGACCTGTGGCACATCTGTGTACCACCAGGCTTTCGTTCCACCTGAAGCTTCCTTTTCTTTTGCTGTCATCTGCTTTTTGTTTGAAATGTCTAATTTGTTGTCACTCTTCAAAAATTATTTTTTGAGTGAAAAATGAGGTTAGCTCAAAATTCAGAAAGCACAAGGGTAAATAGTGAAAAGTAAATGTGCATTCTATCACTGCTTTTCTAGTTTTCTTCTTCAGAAATGATTGATTTCTTATTTATCTTTATAGAAATCTGATCTATGGCTTTTATGTGTGCACCTGGTGCATATGAATCCCCGTGCATGTGTATGTATACGTAATGCATACACAGTGTTGTGCAGGGCTGCAGATTAAGTACAATGTAATTTTAAAGCTGAATGGCAATATACTATATTGTTTCCTTGCTTGCTTTTTTACAATTTTTTTCTTTTGAGGGAACTGTAGCTCACGTGTAGTGTAAGGAAACAGTACAAGGAAATTGCGAATAACCTTCATGCAGTTTCCCCCCAACGCTGACATCTAAAATAACTGGAATACAATATTACAAACAGAAAAGTGAAATTAATACAACCCACCAACCCTACTCAGATGTCTCCACTTTCATACACCCGTGTGTGTGTGTGTGTGTGTGTGTGTGTGTGTGTGTGTGTGTGTTTAAGCTAAGCCATTTTAAATACGAGTAATTGACTGGGCTGGGTTTCAGCAGTTGAAAAAGATGAATTGGTGTATTGAGATATCTAGAGATGTGTGTTGTTGTTGCTGTTGACCTCAAAGCTTATGCCTATTCTCAAAAAAAGAAAACATACTGTATCGTTAGCAATTATATATGTGGATGTAAGTGTATTTTAAAATCTGAACTCTTTTAAATTAAGCAATTTAAAAATTTTTGCTGTCTTAGATTATGACAAGAAGATAAACTTATTGATATCTTCCTGAAAACTTGTGAAAAGAAGCAAATTTGAATTTGAACCAAAATAATGTTTTATTATGCAAATGGATTACTGCTGATTCAATTCATTCTTATTTTTAACTGTATCTTTTATTTTTAATTGACATATAATTATACATGTTTATAGGTTTCCATGTGACACTTCAATAGATGTATATTGTACATGTCTGTACAGTACATGTACAGATCAGAGTAATTGGCATAAGTTATCCTCTGAAAATTCCTCCTTTGTGTTGGAAACATTCCAAATCCTCTCTACGAGCTCTTTTGAAATATATAAGTAACTGTTGCCATAGTTATCCCACTGTGCCATAGAACATCAGAAGTTATTCCACCCCACCACTGCATCCCTGTACCATTTTCTCTGTTCCTCCTCCCTTACACTCTCTCAGTTTTGGTAACCACTAGTTGACAGTTTACTTCTATGAGATCAGCGTTTTAGCTTCTACATGTAAGTGATGAGAATGTGAGGTATTTGTCTTTCTGTGTCTAGCTTATTACATTTAGCCTAATGTCTCCAGTTCCATCCATGTTGCTGCAAATTAGTATCTTATTATTTCTAATGGCTGAATATTATTCCACTATGTATGTATATTTTTTCATCCATTCATCTGTCGGAGGGTGCCTGGGTTGATTGCATCCATATTTGGGCTATGGTGAATAGTGCCATGATAAACATGCAAGTACAAATGTCTCTTCAGCATACTGATTCTGTTTCCTTTGGACATATACCTAGCAGGAGGATTGCTGGTAGGAGGATTATGTGGTAATTCTATTTCTAGCTTTTTGAGGAGCCTCCACACTGTTTTCTGTAATGGCTGTAGTAATTTAAATTCCTGCTGATGCTATAGTGACAGTTTCTCTGCCTCCTAGCCTACATTTATTTATTTATTTATTTATTACTTATTTGTCTCGTTGCTAATGACTTACTTGCCCTAACATATGGTCAAACCTGGAAAACATTCCATGTACTGATTAGCAGAATCTATATTCTGTAGATGTTGAATGAAATGTTCTGTAATTGTCTGTTAGGATCATTTAGTCCATAGTGGAGTTTATCTCCAGTGTTTTGTTTGTTTGATCTTTACTTTTAGATCTAGTAATGCTTTCTTTATATTATTGAGAACTCTAGTGATAGATGCATATATATTTTCAATTTTTATTTTTTTCTTACTGAAATGATCCACTTTTCTTCATCTGTTTATACAGTTTTTGACTTTATGTATAGCCATTCTTGCTTTCTTTTGATTTCCCTTTGCTTAGTACATCTTTTTCTATGCCTTCAATTTCAGTATATGTGTGTCTTTAATAATGAAATGGGTTTGTTTAGGCAGCATATTATGGTGACTTTTTTTTTGTACATTTAGCCAGTTTAAAATCCTTTAATTGAGAAATTTAATCAAGTTACATGGAAGGGTACTATTGATAAACAAATGCATACTCTTGTTATTTTTTTCTAATTGTTTTGTAAGTTCTTTGCTCCTTTCTCCCTCTCTTGTTCATCTTTGTGCTTTGGTGGTTTTCTGAATACATCGTGCCCTGCTGTGGGTGCAGTGAGCCCATGTAGGTGAAATGCAACTCGTGCAGATGGGTGAGTGCATGTTAGTGTGTGAGAGCCACTGATGGGCCCAACTAGGGTGACTATCACTGTGCCAGATGTCTTTGCAGAGTTGTAGGGAAGCCTGCTCAGGGAAGGCTTCCTGTCTGCTTGTTGGGGCCTAGATACTAGCCAGGCAGCTCAGGGAAAGCTGTGTGGCTGCTTCTTGGGCCACAGGATGGTGGCCAAAGCTTTCTGATTGCTTCCCAGGACATCAGTAATTGAGCTCCCCATGACAGGCTGCTTGGTTCCTCCTAAGGGCTAAGGAGTGGTGAGTAGTGCCACTTGTCCACTTCCCACGGGTCTCCATGGGTCAGACAATTCAGAGCTGGTTGTCAGCTGCTTCCTGTCGTGTGGAAGGATGGGCAGGGCCACCCAGCGGGTTCAGTGTTAGTCCAGCTGCCTTGCTGCTTCACAGGACCTCAGCGGGCAGCTCTCAAGATGGCGCTATGCAGCTGGAGCCTGGGAGGGTGGAGGATAATGTGCTGGGCACTTTCTCCAGAGCAGTATAGCAGAGTGGTAACTTAACAGGGCTTCGCACCCACAGAAGAACAGCAGGTGATTCATGTATCTGGCATTAGTGAGAATTTGGGGTGGGCATGCTTACCCTTTCCCTGCTTAGGGATAGTCTCCCCTGGAGAGGGGGTTACTGGATGCTGGGTGCTTCCTTCCCTTCTTTAAGGCCATTGTGTGTCTCTGTGCTCTATGACGTCCCTGCCACGTCCCTGCCATATTCCTTTGCTCTCCCTCACTCTAGTGAAATGGCTGTTGGTTTTCTTGGTTTTGGGTCCTTTCTTGGAGTGTGTGTGTGTGTGTGTGTGTGTGTGTGTGTGTGTGTGTGTGTGTGTGTGTGTGTGTGTGTGTGAGTTGAGAAGCCCATCAGCACCTTTAGTCAGCCATCTTGCAATCTCTTTATCTTTTATATGTCTTTGTGTGTGTGTTATTGTTTAAGCTTCAAAATACTAACTTGTAAGGAAAAACAAAAGTAACAGAAACATCTTAGTCTTAGTGGCTTTTACCAACCCACCTACCTATAAATAGGTCTGATATCATTCCTGATATACTTTGAGTGCAAGACTTATGATGTCTTGTGTTAGAGGGTTTTACAGGGCCTGAGACTGTTCATAAAACTATAAGGCTGAGCTATGATTGTCAGCCAATATCTTTAGTCCACTTTCTTGTTGCCTATTGCATGCAAAGATGCATTCAATCCCGTATGCTAATGTACTTTTCTTCATCACAAGCATAGCCTTGTTCTCCTAGTATGCAGGCTTCTCCAGTGGTCTAGAAAGGTAAAACTTGCCTGAACAGGACAGAGAAAGCAGGAGATGAAACTGCAACAGCAGCTGTTTGAAGAAGAGTTTGCATAATGCAGGGCGAGGAAATAACTGACTGAGATTAACCTTGCGATTTTAAATGCCTTTTCATACTCTGGCAGTAGGTTTCTATTTATACAGAATTAGATTTAACAAAGCAATGCTGGTTGCAGTTTTTATCGAAACCTGTATTTATATAATTTGCATTCATCTTGGGAAATTTTCAAATCCTATCAGTTTGCATTTTGAAAAATCATGTATATCTGCATTGTCATAACCCCTATCCAAATTTCAAGCAGATGCTCAAGAATAGGCTTTCTCATTTTGAGTTAAAAGTAAGAAATAAGGTCGGGGATTTGGCTCTGCGGTTTGGTGGCCTGCCTTGCAAGCACAAGGACCCGAGTTCAATCCCCAGTACCCCAAAAAAAAAAAAAAAGGTAAGAAATAAGATTCAGGATCAAACTTCCTAAAGTGCTATAGTGTACTTTTGGTTGATGCTAAAGACATACTAAAGTTACATAGGATCTCGTAGGTATTTTTCTGAGGGTGCTTTAGCCTACTCATTTGTAGTCAAAATTAAGATGGGTAGCAAATTTAGGAAGCAAGGTGAAGATTTGTCATTTCAAATTAGTTCAATTATTTAGAATAAATTCCAAATGAAACCCAAGAATTAACCACACAAAACAACCGGCATTTCAGGACAGGGTGCCATGAAAGACAAGCCGTCCAAACCTGCTGGAAGACCCACAGGCACCCCCATCCAGGGACCTGCCCCAGCGCTCTCCCTGCTTTCCTATCAGAAGTACCTTTGTCCATCCAGGTGTGCCTGATCACCTCTGTGCCTGCTTCCCAGCGGCAGCTGGCTGTGGCTTCCAGTCCAGCAGTAGCAGATACATTTTGTAGGCATCTGAAGGAGGAAAGGAAGCATCCTTTAAGGAGAATCAGTCCTGGCTCCTGGGAAAAGAGATTGTGTCCAGGCTAGGCATGATCATGGGCAACTCTTGTGCTGGGTCACTTCAAATTAGGAATTGTGCCCATGTCAAGTCTTCCCTGTCTGGTAGCCCAGCAGGCATAAGATGGTAGAGCTGC